GAATATATTTTTAATAAAAGTTATTTTTCATTTGAAAAATATAATAAATATATAAATGAGGTTTTTTCAAATATTATATTTTTGACTTTTTTCAACTCTTAATGAGAATTCATCATAAAAAGTTATTTTTAACTTAACGATTCCTTATGAACAAAATTTCTAATATTCAGAGAAAATATGTCTCTGTATATTTGACTAAATGTAACCCGCTACTAACTAAATACATAGTTCCTGAAATTTACATTATAACCAACAAATATTATCATAGTAATATTAAAATAAACAAAATTATGAATAATAAGAAAAGGAATAATTTGTTAAATTTGAAAAATTAACTTATCAAGAAAACATGTAACTTTCTAAAATCTTTCTTAAATCGATTCCAATATCTTTAACATATATTTTTTTCTAAACAATAAGGTTTCAAAAATTATAAGAACTTTGAAAGTGCCCAAAAGCTGCAAGTTTCAAAATTATGTAAAAATAAAAGATCAAGGTTTCTTTAATTAATTATTATCTCTCCTTTTGCCCCTTTGCATCATTTAAGAAATAAACTGTTTGTAAATTAAGTTCACTATATAATCATCACATCAAGGAAAGTGCATTTTTCTCATTTGTCATATTATATAAACTAAAATAATACTGACGCGCACTAAATGAATTTAAAACTAAGATTTTTATTTTTATTTATAAATGTATAATATAGATGATTTTTTACTCGAGCTTTAAGACCAAGATAACTCTAAAAGTTTCTACACGTATCCATGAGTTTTTTTCATTTTCATATATATAACTCCCGACTAAAGGACTGGACCGATTTGAATTATTTTTTGTATACATATAGGTAGCGCCCCAGAGGGTTTATATTCACTATTCCACCCGCCAGATAGCACTGCAGTCAGTATCTCGGTTATTTAAAATATTATTATTTTTTCGCAAACAAGGAAATAAATGATGAAAATTAGAAGTCCATAGCAGAGACTGCAAATTAATTCCAAATCAAAGCACAGAATAAATAATATAATTTTCTTTACGATATTTCTTCATAGTTTCTTCACGCTCTGTTTTCATAATGATTTTACACATTTTAATACTTAACTTGCTATAAATCTTAAAATCAGTGGCGGCTGGTGGGTTATCGAACTGGTGGTTCACTTTACTAAAATATTGACGAAAACAACAATTGACATAAAATATGTTTATTTTTTGTACATTAAATCAATGCGACGACATTTTTCTGTAGCGAAATGTTTTATCACCTTTTTATTAAAATCTGATTCCAGTTTCTGTCCAAATCGATTCTCCGCCAAAAATAATGCAAGGAAAACAAAAGAATGCATTAAGACGCTCACATCCACACAACCATTTCTTTCTATTATACATTTCACTTTTAAAACTTCGTATAAATGCTTTATTTTTCGATTTAGGTACACTCTTGTTTTAAATTTAAAAAGGACCGTGGCGGCCCGGCCAATTTTATGTTCACTTTACTTTGAAAAATTTTGTTATTTTCTTTAATATAATCAATATTTATACTCATTTTCAACTAATAAAAAACACAGTACAGAATAAAAGTTCTATTATAGAAACGAAATAAAAACTAAAACGAATTACGGAAATAATTATAAACAATAACGAATTAACGCGTCACGCATACAGTGAAAGTTGAAACAATACCAATAACGATTAACGAAATGTCAATCATAGCACCCATCCTTTCGGCCGGCCCCTTGCCGGCCGGCTCAATACGTCATACATCGGGTGCTCTCGGTAACCTTCGGCCGCTTCGTGCGGCGCTCGAGAACCGACTCGTTACTCGGTACATTTCTATGAACTATCTTTTGTCTCACGCGCCCGGCGTATTGATGCGTGTCTCATACAAGATGTATTAGCAGTCCTCGTGCACTCGCCGGAGCGCACGATATGAGTTTAGTAAAGCGCTCAAACTTTTTGACCATAATTGGAAATTAAATTTTTTATACCTTTTTGTATGTTTAAAAAATAAATATTAAAATGGTAATTTAAAAATTAAGATGACATAATATTTTGTAATTTTTAAATATTTTGAATTGGTGGTTCAGCGCACGGGCGCACTTAAGGTACAGCCGCCACTGCTTAAAATTAACCTTTTACAAATGTCTACCTTTTTTAGATAATATTGCTAAATTTAACGCTTTTAGTGCATTGTGTTTCAAATCACGATAGATTTAAAATTCGCTAGTATTAGATATTTTCTGAAATCTTATATTATGTATTAATTACTAGTATAATTCAAAACTGTTTTTTTATAATACATAATCCTTTTTAAAACGATATTTCAACTCTCATTTTATTTTCTCCTTATATTTCATACCGACAGTTATACATAATTATCTAAATAAGAATAAAATAAACCTGAACTTTTAAAATTATTTTTGCTCATCACATAAGTTATTTTTGAATAAAAATTATTTTCAACGTATATTTTATCCGATTTGCTTTTATATATACTTATTTTATAGTTTACAAAACTTTTGTCCTTTTACTTCCCACTGTAAACAATATGATACAAAAAGATATAATGCAAAAAAGTTATATACATATATTAAAATAGAAACCATTTCAGTTAAATACGGATAATTTTATTTATAATATTAAAATGTTATATAATTTAAAATGACATTAAACTACTCAAAAACCTTTATTTAAAATATTCCTTCATAAATATTTGAGTATATGTTTTATAATATATATTTCCTATATATAACAATGTCTATATTTTCTGTAGGTAATAGTGTGTTGGTCGTACCTAATCCCAAGGACCATTCACTCGTGAAATTGTTAATTAACAAGTAAGATAACAGCCTCCCTGGACGATATTGTTTTATTTGAAACATAATAAATACATATCTTTATTGATGGGTGAAGTTATTTGTATATAAATAGTAATATTTTTCATGGTTTTCCTCTAAAGGATTTCAGCATTACGTAAGGTTTTATAATATTTACTAGATGTAATAGACGCTTGAATTGTTATGAATAATATTCGTTTGTATTTCTTGCTCTCACTGAAATTCCTTTTAAATTAAACTAAATTTCGTATATTATTTCAAAATAAATTAAATCACATCATAAGTTTTTTTTTTTCAAATCTATTGTATTGACATAAATCTTTAATATGCCACACTTCTCGTGACTCAACTTGAGGAATGATTCTCATCCGACAAAGATTTTATACCCTTGGTATAAATAAAATTGGAGTTTACAAAGTTTTTAAGTACTTTTATTTATTACAGAGTTCTTAGTGGAAGTTTTCGAATGAATACTTGGACTAAATGTTTTCTATTTCACGATGTAAACTAAGGACACCGTTAATGTAAATAACATAAAATATATGTATTCTGTTTTTGATATATGTATTAAATAAATTAAATATCATAGTTGTTATCCGTGTATTTATTTATTTTAAGTTCATACTTAAGATGAAATTTTATTTAGCAATTAGATTGAAAAACCTATAATAATATTTTTATTTTAATAGTTAAAAATTACAATATTATATTCAATTATTTCTTTGGTAACGTAATGTATGTTGAAGTAACGATACTGTTTTTAGGAAATATTGGCAACCGCTATGTACTACTACTGCAGGACGTTTTTGTAATTATTGCCAACTGTTGCTTATAATATAAATATAATTTCTTAAACTAACTTTAAAGTGCGCGTTATTTAATGAAAATAATATTACCCAGTACAAATTTTAAATATGAATTTTGACCCCGTAATCATAATTTACTTTTTATAAAATATTTTTACTCGTGTTATATCACGATAATAATATGCCTACTACGAGTTTACAAACTCACAAAAAACGAGTATAGTTTCATACATCTTCACACTGATAGTATGAACTGAAGTACATAAATGAAAAACTTTCAACTATTCAATTTCACGATGCTAACTTGTAGTATTATTTGAGTCTATTAAGTAAAATTGCTCATTATTGAATTATTTATTATTTAATTTCATTAATAGTTAATTTAAAAACTTTTTAAAAACACTTGACTTAATAAGGGTCCTCTTTATAATAATAAATAGTAAGTTTTCAACGTTTTCATTTCCTAATTAAAAGATTGATATATATTTTTTTGAGATTTATTAAATAAAAAAAAAGTTTTTATAAAAATAATTAACTAGCTATACAATAAATAGTAGACATAATTACAAATTAATTATTAAATTTACATTCACACAGTATATTTTATATACTTATAGTATAAACTTTTAGACCACACTGACTAGTTTGCCACACCCCTTGTCTGTTTGTTTGTCCATCGGGAATACAAGAATGTAAAATAAGTGCTAAAAATAACCGCCTTGATAATTTCATTATTAGATAACAAAATCTAACAGAATGAAGTATGTATATAAATCTCAAAGTTCTAGAATGATGACAAAATAGTTTATTTTATATACATTTTTTATCATTCCAATATAAAATTTAACTGGTTCAGCTAAAATAATACGAATCAACGATTATTGTTCATAGCACTTAATCCCTTAAGGAACACAACAAAATATTTTTTTTATTAATCACAAACGAGAAAGGACATAGAATTCTGGACGTTAAACTGGTAATAATTACTAGTGTTTAATTTATTAGCGATGGAATATAAATATGTAAAAATACAAATATAACACACAATGGATGAAATAAAATAAATATATAATTTAATAAATATTATTAATGAATATGTTAATAAAATAATACTTGGTATCTTGTTAATTGACAGTAATTTGACTATCTAGCGGTAACTCTAATGTAACCTATGGATTAATACTAAATATAAATAAAAAATATATTAATTTCCCTAACTAAACTTTGGTATATTAGCCGTACTTAAATTTTCCACATGCGTTAAATATATCTTAAGAATAAATTAACTTAAACTAACAATGTTAATACTTATCTAAATAATATCAAATATTGTCCACTGCTGTGTTTACGTAAACATCTTAAGTTACAAATCGGAGTAAACTTGATCGGATTCCTTGAATTGTATAAAATTCCCGTCAGTACCGGTAATAACTTGAAGTACTTTGAACGCCTTTGACTGTCGTGGAGATGTATCTTGTCTTATCTTATGGTACATACTGAAACAGTAAATATAAACACATTAGTATAAAGATATATACGTCTCAGTTTAATCTATAATAATAAATTAATAAGCGTCTAAAGAGAATGTTAATTTTATGTATGTAATACATATTTTTAAGATATTCACGGCAAGACGAGACAATTTAGTGTTCAGAAAAGTCAGGTAAAATATACAGTATGCCTTTTCTTTTTATTATTAGTTCCACTTCACTTTCTTAAGACAAATAGTTGTTATAATAATACATAATAAAGACTTATCCAACACTTCAACACTTATTGAAAATCCGTTTAGACACAAGTTAATAAAATGATTACAATCACATAGATAACGAAAATGAAAATAACGAAGTCTTGCCGAAGAGGTGGAATAAAATTTAAGAATGATTGATATTTAGCAGCCAATTAGTGAACGATGTAAATTGGTTAAATGAGTAAAGTCAGAGCACGCGCCATGTTTAATGATGATAATTAAAGTAAGAAAATGATTCATGATAGAGGCAGTGCAAAAAAAAATGTTTACTTTCGACAAATCATACTGCTCCTTTAATACCGCCCACCGAAGCTGAAATTATAACAGTTACATATGTATATTGATATGGCAACTAATAATTTTAATGGACGAAATATAATTTTTTATCTTAGGTCTTTTGTATGTTTCAACCTAAATACGAATTCGGAATATCAAACATTTGAAAAATTCAATCTTTCATTGAAGTTGATTTTTTATTGCTGAAAAGTTTAAAATGAGAAACTTCGCGGTATAACTATATAACTTTCAAAATATTTCACAAATATGACCAACCTTTTATTAGCTCCTGCACCGTTTCCTCCTTCAATTTGTATGGGAATTATTCTTGTCTTTGGCTGACTGTCCTGAGTATTGAAACTTCTGTTTAAAGTCGGCAATTCCGGTTGACTCTGACTTTCATCCATCCTGACTAGTTGAGGCGATAGCACCCTCATAATACGCTGAGTAGGCTGGGAGTAAGGTGCTTGTGCATTATTCTGATCAGGGTTTTGTTTCATATCAATGAATATTCTTAACTGTGGCTGATTAGGGTTAGAACCTGTTTTGCCTTGGTTCCTTGTTTCAGTACTAGACACTTCCATTTGAATCGGAATAATTCTACTTCCTTGTGATGTTTGAGAGTTTTCCCGTGGGAGACTTTTTCTATTCTCTGAAGGACGAGTTGACCAATTCGGTTGCACTGGTTGCTGATATCTTGGCGGACTGACGACTTCACGATTTCCTCTTTGCATATCATTACTTTTTTTAACCCATTCCGGCTCTTGATTATTTTCTCTGGGAGGGGTGGCTAATTCCCTTGGTAATATCTTGGTACCATCTAAAGGCCTTTGACACCATGAAGGTGGAGGTGTTTTTGTCTTCTCTTTCTGGGATTTAACAAAACCTGGTACTACTTTCGGGCTCCCAGGACAGTAGTAAACAGGTTCCTGATTAACATACACTGCTTCTTTTTGATGAGGACTGCTGTTATTTTCTGCTTGTGTTACTTGTTTTCTTGGCGTCACTGGTATCGAAATTGAGGATTGGTATCTTGTTTCTGGAGGAGTAACAGGGGGAACCGATTTTTCTTGTGTTCTCCACGGAGAACTTTCTTGTCCCCGATTATATTCTTGATTTACCCATGGTGGTGTGTAATGCTGATTACTTGGTATTTGCTGATTTTCAGCCACATTACCACTGTTCCTACTGTCTTGTTTCCATGGAGATCCATATTTGTTTTCAACATTATTGTTTGTTGTCTCATTTACCTTCCACGGGGGATTGTAAGATGGTTGCTGTTGTGTATTATTATTATAAACTGACTGCTGGTTCTCTCGTGGATGACGATTTAAAGTTTGTGTTCGCCAAGGTGCTGTCTCATTTACAGGTTTCTCTTTTATATTTGCGTTAAAATCATTTTGTACATTGTTATTAGAAATATCTTGATTCCGCTGTCCACCTCGAGGTAAGGTATGAAAAACAGAATTGTTGGGCGTTTGGTTATAATTTGGAGAACTTTGTGTTGCTGCTCCTGAAAATGGTCCACGATTTATATGTGGTGACTGTGGACTATTAGTAGTGCTAGCTGGAGAATCACGTCTTTCTGGTTGTCTCCAATGATTATTGGGCGTTGGAGAAAATGGAGAGTTACCCGAGGGTGATTGATTTGCAAAAGGCTGAGGACTTTTATTAAATTGAGAATCCTGTCGCACCAACATTTCTCTTGTTTGAGGTGATCCACTAACATTTGGTGAACCTGATTTTTGATGAGCATATTGTGCTTCTGGTCTATGAAGAGGGCTCTCAGGAGAATGGTTCTGATTTCCATAAAAGTTTGGCCTTTGAACATTGTTTGGCGATGAATAATTCTGAGGCGCATGATACGCTGGTAATTTTACAGTTAAAGGACTTGGAACCTTTTCAACGAATTTAGGAACAGGTCCAATACGCTGGAGCTCAGCCTTTTCAGCTTCCCAGTGATACGGACTATTGGTTTTTCGTAACATACCAATTGGGTTTTCAGGGATAACAATCTCTGGACGGTCACCAACTGCTGGTATTGGTTTTGCAATAGAATTTTTGGGGGCTTCAATTATTAATGGTGGCGGTGGAGGAGGGGCTGGTATTTTCTGAGGAGGAGGTGGAGGGGGTGCAGGTACTCCTTGAGGATGGTGATTGTTATTGGCTTGATTAGAATACGCCTGTTCTTGTTCTTCCATGGAACGTTGTCGTGCCATTCTCCTTGCCATGCTTGGAGTTCTGATTTGAGACAAATCTAGTCCCCCAGGTGTGTATGTGAAAGGCTTCTTATCCTTTGTCATCATTGCATTCTGAATGCAAGCAGGAGGTTCTACGGAGCCCATTGGCTGAAATTAAAATGTAATATTACAAAAAAATAATCTTATTTTACAAAACATCACCTTAATTTTTACATAAGAATGAAAAAAAAGTGAAATAAGTTGTTTTGCTTCAAAAATAACTTTACAATTGCTTCGCAACGATTCAAATCAGGTTACAAATTTACTTATCAAAGATAAATCACTAAGCTTATAATTAACATACAATTGAAAATAGTAAGAATATATATATTACATATATTTATAAATCATAAATGAACTCACGTTAACCTGTGTTTTGCCAAAATTCGGAATTCTACCGATGTGTCCAGCCATCGGTGCTGTTCCGTACCTGGAAGTCATCCAAATAACGTGTTATTTTTACATATGTGACAACATCGTATGAACATTGTTGACCTATTATTATATACTGGGAGCAAATAATGACTTTAACTTTGGTTTTTATAACTACTAAGAATAACCTTATCATATAATATTAAGTACAGTTTTATAAAGAAGAAGATTTATTATGAGGCAACTAAAAACTAAGGCAGTCACTGTAACGATACTTGAAATTTAACGAAAAATATTCATTTGAACGTCTACCGTCAAAAATTAATTCATTTGTCGCTTTTTAAAACATAATATGTAAGCATAGTATGATGAAACAGATAATTTCTTTTTCGATATAAATCTCGATGACTCAGGTCACTAAGATCTAAATATAATTTCTGTTTACGTAAAACGTTTTACTTACCCGTTGGCTGCCATATTGTTACAGTGGATGCAACTTCAATGTCGAGTCAAACTGAAAGTGAGATCATACTCTGTATTAGCGAGTAAACAGATGTTTCGGGAACTTACATTAATGGCCCGTTATATTCGATGATGTGTCAGATAAATGCGGTGTGAAGTTTGACATAGAGTAATAAAACAATTACATTAGCTTTTACGTTTATGTTGCTATATAACATAGTATATTATGTACTTTAAGGAGCTCCAATACGTAATTTTTGAATTTTTCAGTGCCTTTTATTATGTAGAAAACTCTATATATTTCTGATCTATTATTGCCCCAGATGGAATGCGGGATTTTGGCACTCTAACTATAATTATAGTTCATGGCTATATGCCAAATCAATTTTAGCTCAACTGCGCTTCACTGTGCCACTTTAGTATAAAAGTGTTAAATAAATTTCCTTTTTCTCGATTTCTTTAGAATATTTTTTTGTTGAAGACTTTCGCAGTCATAATTAATGTTTTTTAATTAAAATTTTATTACATCGAACCATTACTATAACAAATAATAATTTACTTTATTATAAATATTTCCATTGAACAATTCGAAATGTTATTTACGCAAAATTATTTAAAAAGTGTTAGAATTATATTTACAGAAAATTCTTTGAATACTTGCAAGTACAAAGAGACAAATTCATCTTGCAATGATTTTTTTTAATACTAAAACTAAAATTACAAACTCCTTTTAACCTTTATTAACAAAAAACGTAACTAAATCAATCGTGTTGAAGGACCTTAGATTAAATCCAGAAACTCTTTATATCTGAATGGGTCAGAATTTATGTTTTTAACCCATTTTTATGTTTGTATAATATAAATGTGTTTGTACTGTAAATTTATGTATCCAAACGGAGTACTAATAATTAATAGCAATTTAGTTTTGTCGATTGTCTTTCGTGATTTATTGTCAATAATATTATTATATCATTACTACAAAACATTAATAGATAAAATTAAATGTAAATGCAGATGTGAAAAGAAAAAATGTCTAACTCTTCATGTAATAATCCATATAATCTTTTAATTCTTTTTCAACTTTGTAAACGACCAATTATACAACTAAAGTCTATTTGTGGATGCAAGGAAAAAACATTATTCTCGTTTTTTTTAATAATGCAAAAAAAGAAACGGAAAAATACAACTGTTAATATTTCAATTACATTTGCTTACTTTAATGAAAACTTATTCGCTTAGTTATACCTGATACTATTACCAAAAGGTAATTTATTAATTCTCAGTAAGATTTACAAATTATTAAAAATCCAATAAGTTTCAAAGAGTTCTACCTATTTATCTCCAAACAGAAATAAAACTATCAAAAATTTTAATATTATTGCGAAAACAGGTTTATTACTTAGAATTAACAAAAGGACAAGCTAAATTTTACTTTACAATAAAAAAAGGATAAATCCTTTAAGAATTACAAGTAATAAAGCTTCAAAATATGTTTGAAATACTTGAAAACTAGTCCCTAAACTTATGAATATAAACGCAGATATCAATTGTAATTAAAGGGATTTGTCATAAAAATAAATAAAACTTTATTATAAAGTAAAAAAATGTTAGTATAGAAGTTTTCTATTTCAAATCTGCAAGATGGCTCTTAAACAAATCAATAAAACGTTTCTTCATATTACATTAATTTTTTGTGCTCAAAAGAATACAAAACGCATACAAAAGAAAAATGAAAATATTTTTAATTGTCTATTAACTGTACCTAATGTTCTTAAACAGATATGAATATACAGGGTGACTGGTGAATTACTATCAATATTTAAGGAGAATACTCGGTAAATGATTCTCATTCCAAATATGTAAAAAAAATAGGCACTTAATTTTTGACAAAATTTCCGTATAAATAAATAAAGTGTTGACACGTTCCAAGTGTTCCAAGTGTGGACGCTTGCGGCGGCGTGCTGATACAACACCACGCCGCCGCACGCGTATGTGTGAGTATGTGTGTATACCTAATCTGTAGGGTGTTCACACGATGCGTAATTAATTACATAACTTTTGGTTAACTTTACTTAGAAGTTTATTAATATTTATGTTATATTAATTTTTATTTTGTCATATATGATCGTCAAATATCACGTCCTCAAGTATCGATAGTAATTCACCAGTCACCCTGTATATACGTATATAAGTGAGTTAAATAATCGTCTAGCTTTTTTAATTTTATAAATAATTAATTATATGTAGTTTATATTATAACAAGAAACATATTATTATGATAAAATTAAAAAAGTTTAAATAGCTTATATTTTCAAATTTTATTTCCTTGGGTCAGAGTTTTTCATAATTTTTTAAGGAAACATTTTGTACTAGCAACACTACAGTCAATGAGTTAAATCTAAAACATAAGAAAATAACATCATTATATCTAATATCGATATAAAAATTTTAAACTTCAAATATACCTATATAAAATCTACGTAAATAATTGTATTATATGTATTTTTATAAGCTATTTATTCCATTCAACCATAGCAAATAAATATTATATAAGCAAAGAAATGTCCTATCCTTAACCATAAATATTATTCATAAACTGAATATTATTTTGGCATGACTAATACCCTACCTGAGCCAAGTTTCTTCGCTAACCAAGTGTAACTGATTATTTGTCCAACACATGTCAGGTAAAACTGTATATTTTTTTTTACAACATATTCATATATTATACTAAAGTTACAGAATTTTTACAGTGCAGATTTAGGGATTATTAAGTTCTTTTCATAAAGAATATCAAATTTTTCTATAAAATATTTAGCAAAAATATCCGCGTTTTCTAATACCCAAATATATTTAGAAAGATTAAAGCGGATAATATATTGATAATAGTATAAAACCATGAAACCATTGCCTCAAATAGTTCTGCCCACCAAACTGGCCTACAAAATGCAAAATAATCTTTAGTATATATCACGAGATACCTACGCCTACAATGTTTATAGCATTCCATGTACGAAAACAAGTTGGTAATATGACTCCATATTAAATATCTAAGGATTCATGTTGTTTATTACTCTACTCGTAGATTTATGTAATATTTAACATAGCAAAATTAATTAAATGATCCTTTAAGAAATAAAGGAAATTCTATTTGTATTAAATAAAAAAATTAGCTAATTTTATGTAAATAATAACTTCGAAGTTACATATATGAAATAACGCAAGTACAAGTAAATTCATGATTGTGTATTTTAATGTACCAAAAATTTTGGGAAAAGTTACGTTATCTTATCTACACAAGCACCCAAATGAACGATAAGCTTCCGAAGCAAAATTTCCGTTATTAAAAAGTATTTGATATCAATATGTTTACGTAGTATATTCAATACGAAAGTCGTTTTGTATTAGCTACAAAACTATGCGATCCTATTACTCACGCCATACGTATGAAGTTGCGCTTGCGCATATTTTTAATTTAGACATCTCGAACTTATTCTAGTATATCATTATAAAAATGAAAAAGTTTCTATATATGTAATTAATAATATGTATATTGTTTACGTCACGTTTACCTCTTTAAGAAAAAATCAAAATAATAATTATTATATTTTTTTGGCATACAATATAAAATAATAATAATATTACTATTTACATCTAAATATTTTATTATCTTAAAATATTTTAATAATCTAAAACCCAGTTATTTCATTAAAATTTTAAACAAAACAACCTCGTTATATATTTATGATAGAAGAAAATTAATTTATTTTAATTATATGTAATAAAAATAAAACAAATATGAAAAAAAAATATAATTAACAAATACTAAAATAAAAAATAGTATGATAGCTTACCTTATATTAAAAATTAAAAAGAAAAAAATCCAAATTCAAATTCACAACACGTTTAAAAATGTATGTATCGTAAACACGTTCGCGAATGGCGCATGTCGTTCGTTCGGATCGGGCGGGCCGCGATTGAAACACAAACGGAGGTAGGGCATACATCGATGGATTTGGAACGCTAAGTATAACCTAAACCTTTACATTTATTATTAATCAATTAGCTTATAATCTTGTATAAATTACTTTCAATAAAAATAACTCATTATTTATAGATAACATATTAATTATTTGAAAAAAAAGTATCGATAAAAACACATCACTACAAATTTATTTCGGACTCAGACGGTTCGTCAGTGTTACTCATTATGAGCCAGGGTTTTTTATTAACAACCTTCAATTCGTTGTAAAAAATACTAATAGCCTTACATGCTGCCAGGCTATTTATAAAGAAGATTACAACTATCTGATCTTAAAATCATTATATCTCAGCTGATTTTACAATAATTGTTTTGAATATTATAACTTTAACCGACTAATATTATAAATAGGAGTGTGTTAGGATGTATGAGTATTTGTTGCTCTTTCCTACAAAAACTACTCAACGGATTTTACATATAAACATTAAGAATAAGAATTAAATAGGCTGTAGTTTATTCTTAAATTCTATGTATTTATTAAATTTCGTGCACTTATTCCGGGAACACAGCATATACTTTTCGCTCTTCCAATTTCGAAGTTCAGGGACCAAATTGCTAGCAAAAA